TTAGTCAAAAAATTCTCACGCTTTACGACCTTACCTTTTTTGAAGCTCTTAACCTTCAGTTAATTTTATGCATAAGAGTAAATGGGCTCATCTACATGATTCCATAGATGTCATTTATGGTGGTAGAATGTGCTTGTTCACTCTAATGTCTCTTTTTTGTGTTATATCAATATGGCATAGTTTGAAAGCACAAAATTGTCTTTTTTTCTCGATTTATAAAGTTCAACTTCCGCACATCTCTATATCCATAGAAAGAAGTTTATTTAGTGCATATATCATCTCAATCTAACTTTCAGGTCCGCCCAACACTCCAGACTCGTCTGGCAGCATCTAAAATGACGGCTGACGGTGTGAGTGGAGGGATTTCGAAAAACTCCGAGTACGCTCAATTAAGTGACTTCAGCAGTTTGGACGCGTCCAAGCCAGGTGTGCAAATATTGAATCTTAGGAGGTGTTTTTGTCTACTAATGGTTATTTTTGTTCGTTGCCAGATTTCAAGCGAGACGAGGACAATGTGAGCGTAGCTGGGACCGTTTTTAATGAGCCTTGGGATTCGAATGTTTGGGAGAATTTGTTGGATTTAGCGAGTCATGGAGATGAAGGATTGGAACCTGGAATCAGGCGTGAGTCCTACAAGCTTCAATGTGCATAAATTTTCGTTTGTTTGGTTTTTCCAAAGTGTTTTTGTTTTCAGAATTTTCAGAAACTATTCATGAAGAAGACTCTGACTCGGACAGAACCCCAGGTGGATCTACCCGCATGCATGAGTCCGATGATGAACTTGACGAGGATATGTGGATGTCCATGACGGCATCAGCCCGTAGAACACTACCATCGGATCGTGTTACCTGCAAAGCGTGGGAGAATGATGATGCGGCCAGGTAATTTATTCTGGGCTACGTTGTATGAGATGGTGAATACACTTGTAATTTCAGTAGCTACGGTACTGTAGATAGTTTGGATCACTCCGCTTCTGGAACGTTGCGAAAGGATCGTGCTCGAACTTCACCGCATTCGATGCACTCGGTAAGGCTTTTTTGCTTTCTTCTTGATTCGGATTCTGCACCTTATTGAGCAAACTTGCCTTTTTTTAGCTCCCCAGGGCAATTTCCCGGTTTTCACAGCAAGTCGGCTCATTGGACGACTTGCCACTTTCCCTCCCTGCCCTTTCGCCCAACCTCAATTCTGAGCGGAAAACAAGTCAGACTGATTCCAGCACTGCTCTTCAGTCTTACGTCGAGAGGTTTGTTTACTTTTCGTGGAAATATTGTGAGGTGGTAATTTTTTTTCTTGTTAAGGCTCGCTGAAGATGAAAGTACAGTATTTGGTGCAACGCTGAAGCGGTTTATTGAGTGTACTGTCCAAAGCGAAGAGGCTGATCCTAGCGTAGTTGTGAGAAATGTGAGGCAATTTATCAACGGAATCAAGAATTACCTAGTTAAACATGGGGAAGGTATGTTAGCATAAGCCTTTTTTGTTTCGTTTTCTTCCACACATCAATTCAAATCTAAAAAATAATAGAACCGCTGTCATAGTTTCTGTTAACCTCTGTCAGACTTTTATAGCAATTCTCCTATGCAAATTGTACATGCGGTAAGGGGAGCACGGTCTTCCACAGATGAAAAGCAAAGCGAAGAAAAAGGGGTGGGGGAGGAGAATGGATATATTGAGGCTGTAGCAGGTCTTTGCCATCCTCAGACCAATCTCTTCATATAGTTCTTCCAGTGATAAAAAATTCTCAATATACCCATAGCCACTGAACACCGTGACCATCCAGAAAATCCTTTCAAAAGTTACAAATATGAGAGCACTCGCGAGAGTATTAAGATATTGAGGCGGCTTGGCCTCCCCCAATAACACAGCATCCAGAGCGATTGATTTGATTTCAAAAAAATCCAAGCTTTCAATTGGCCGCG